TTTAAATCCCACAAGATCACCCTCAATAAAAACATACACACAGGCAAGGTGCAGTGGCTCACACCTGTAATCCCAGCACTTTGGGAGGCTGAGGCGGGTAGATCACCTGAGGTCAGGAGTTTGAGACCAGCCTGGCCAACATGGCAACCTCGTCTCTACTAAAAATACAAAAATTAGCTCGGCGTGGTGGCGAGTGCCTGTAATCTGAGCTATCGGGGAGGCTGAGGCAGGAGAATTGCTTGAATCCGGGAGGCGGAGGTTGCAGTGAGCCATTATCGCACCACTGCACTCTAGCCTCGGCAACAAGAGCCAAACTCCATAAAATAAAATCAAAAACAAAAAGAAAAAAACAAACACACAAACAGAGGCAGCACAGTTCATCGACCTACCTTGGGGATACATTCCCAAAAGAGAATGAGACAGACGGACAAATGAGTTCTCCTTGGAGCATGTTATTCAAATCTCAAAATAAGATGCAGCTCTCATTTCAAGGTGCATTTATTTTAGTGAGGTCGGGATTTGTAAGGGAAACAAAATGAATAAGTTGGTGGGTGGGGACAGGAATTAAAATAAGCAGTATCTTGCTGCTTGTCGACATGAGTATCCTCACATCCGCTGCCTTATTTTTTATTCTGTTCTGGTTTGTTTTCCCTTGCAGTGCTTTAAAATATGATAGGTAGATTAGAAAGAGAGGCCGAGGTAATCCTGGCTTCTGTTCATTAAGCTCATATGAAGTACGTATTGTTCTACTCACATTACCTCAGTGAATCCCTATGAGGTGGGTGCTATAATTAACCCCATTGTACAGGTGAGACAACTGAGCCTGAGGAAGATAAAATGCTCATGCTAAGTGTCCCATCAGCAAATGGGTGAGCCAAAATGTAGACTGAGTTGGTGGAGCTCAGAGCTGAGCTTTAATCTACTCTGCGCTAATATCTGGGGATGTGCTTAAGCTTCAGTCTCTCTGTCCCAGATGGAGCAGGTCGGATCTCCAAGCTGCTGAGGGGCACTAGGACCCGGGAGATACCAGGCTAGCTCTGTGTTCTTCTAGTCCTCCTGGCATTTCTAGAAACTGGAGGTGGGCAAGGAGGAGGGGGAAAGAGGAGCCAGGAGAACACGGAGTCTTAAATAAGATCTCTTCCCTCTCTTCCTGCCTGGAGTGAAGCCCTTTATGAGTAAGCACCAATGGAGGGATGCCAACACAACGCAGCAAAACCAGCCCTGTCATTCCCAAACCAGGACTCTCAACCGCAAATCATTCAAGGGTAAGGACACAGAAAGAAGAGCAGAGGAAGAGTGTGGACATAAAGTCAGACCACATCTTGGGGAATGCAACCCTCCCACCACTCCCAGGAGGTGTGACCTTGGACAAGATATCTCTCTGAGCCTCAGTTTCTTCATCTGTAAATGGGGAAATGACAAGTCCTGCCTCATAGGTTTGCTCTGAGGATTGAGTCCATGTATGTGAGGGGCTTTCCAGAGTGCCCATCACACAGTAGAAGCTGACTACATATTAGTGTCTCTATGAGTATACCGTTACATGCGCTAGGATGATCTGTGCAATGAATGTATTCTGTACTATACAACACACAATCATATGCCAACAACTGAAAACTAAACATGGTGTGGACAGCGTTCTGGGAAAGGTACGGGCAGGGGCCCTGCATTCACTCTGGTTTTTATCTCCCACAGAGCCAGCTACTGCACAGTCCTACCCTCAGCAGGGCTGGGAAAGTCTGTGCAGGAGAATTGGCATAGACTTCAGTTTCCTGCATCTTATCCCAAACCTCAGCCAGAAAAGGCAGCACCCTTCCACTTTCCAGGAGAAGGGCAGCCAAGCCTGAAATGCCCCTATTTAATGGGATTATTTCTTCTCCTTTATAAGTCATATCTCATGGGAATGTTCATTTTCTCTCTGGCAGCTCATCAGTACAATAATTGTTTCACAATGTAATAACCCATGTATTAAGTCAGATGAGAACCTCCTTGAAATATTATTATCCTGAATCCTCTTCCATAACAGGGAGATAAGTTTTAGATCTCACCCAAGGAGATTTCGTTACCAAAGAACCCAAAGCATTTCATTACAGGTGCTTTCTCCTACAAGAGGAGAGAGATTATTTTTTATTTTTGTTATTATTATCTCATAGACCAAAAGGTTATTGTTCTATGGGTTCAATTTCAACAGCCCTGATGCTTCCTAATCATACCGTGTCATTTACTTCCTTATTAGGTTCAGTGTTTCCTGCTTTCCCCACACTGCAGTATAGGAGGGTAGGGGGAAGGGACTCTATTTCTACACTGTTGTTTCTCAATCATCTGGGACGGTACCTGACATATAGTAGATGCTCAATAAATATTAATATACAAACGGAAGCGAGCACATTTAGAGCACATTTCTTTTGGAAAGCGACCACAGTTGATGCAAAGATGTATCTCATTAGAATTCATTTCAACCTCTTTTATTTCCTATTCAATTATTTTTTGCCCCCATTCTGTGTTTATGCCAATAGATTTTTTATGAGATCAGAACATATCTCCAAAAATCAGAATTAAATCATCCACAAGAAGGCTATGGATTTCAAAGCATACCAGAACTCCTGGCGCTAAAATGCTTCAGAGAACGTGTCACTCACCACAAGGAGGCTCAGCTCCACACCTTTACTAGGGGCATGTTCTGCTCACTGCAGAGGAGGATGTCTCCACCACAGTCACCAGGGAGCCCTTCCATCACCCAGGCCCACAGGGGACCAAGAGAGAATGAACACTGGCAGAAAGTGCAGATTCAGGAAGTATGAGGACTAGAAGGTAATTTCATTTAAACCCCCAATCTTCAGATGGGAAAACTGAGGATCCAGAAAAGCAAAGTGGTTGTTCGAATGCACACGGTAATTAAGCACAGCCAGGTGAAGAAGGCGGATCCCGCCTGTCCCCTTCCCCGTCGATTTCCCTGTGTGTGCATGGGTGTGTGTTTGAACTCTTAGCAACAAGATGTTTTAAAAGGACTCCCTGTTAACAGCTCATCCATAATTTTGACTCAGGGATGCTGCTGATAGAATTCTACTAGCTTCCCTGTCCACCCCAATGACCTAGATCCTGCATTTCCCATTAATGACTCAAGAGCCTTAAAGACTTTCTGAGCTAAAAGATTCTTCAAGATCATCTAGCCAAATCTTGATCTCACAGATGAAAAACAATGGGCTAAGAAAAGTGAGCTCCCAGGTCACAAAGCCAGTTAACAGTGAAGCTACAGCAGCTGGGACCGCTGACACCCAGGAACACGTAAGTTACACTGAGGACACTTCTCAGATTTGTGTGTGACTCTACTAGCCTCATCAGGATAAGGAGAAAATAAGAAGGAATTGGAATACGATAAGCAAAAAATCCAGTCTAACCAAGCATATCTCAGGTCCAAAACGAAAACTTTTCCTTAGAGCAAGAGAATATAATTCTAATAAGAAAACTAGTAGCAAAAGAAATCTTTTTAGGATAGGGACACATACATACGTGTATGCATGCACACATATGTATGTGCATATAATATAGAGAGTACCACACATACTATATTAAGAAGATGCTTATTTTTTAAAACTACTTGACACTAGGTATATAATAAATTAACAGTGCTAACAATGGCAACAAAATGGATTGCTAGTGCAAGCCTATCTTGACACAACATTTTTTTAAGTTATCCATCAATGTCTGCACAAAAGAAAATACACACATTCTTTGAACCAGCAATTCCTCTTCCAGGAACCTGGAACTATTGACAGAAATAGAATTATACAAATATATGAATAACGGTGTTTATTAAACCATCGTTTCTAGCAGCAATAGAAGGAAAAGAAAAACATTCAGGTGGTCTATCATTAGGGTTATGGCTGAATATACTGTGATACAAACAAATTATGGAGTCTTATACAACTGTTATAAAATGAGTTATCACAGAGCTGAAGGGATGTCCATCACGATTAGTGAGGAAGCCAAATTGTGGTGCAATGCAATTATTTGATACAATTTCTCATACAAACACCACCATCTCTAAAACACTTCACATGTGAAGGCCTGGGAACCCCGGGTGTTTAAAGGAGGAGGCAGTGATGGATGCAAGGGGGAAAGATGATGAATGTGTTCTTCACACATCTTTGTCTTCACTGATTACAACGCATGCGTATTGCTTTTTAAATAATTAACTTAAGCCAAAATTCCTAAAAAATAAGGACAGAAGGAACCCACAGAGAGTCCTCCAGGTTCTGTTTCAGCCTCCCTTCTTCCCTAGTAGACCCCAGGACAGCAGGAATACTCTGAATTCAGGGAAAAAATGAAATCAACGCAGCAATGAGAAACCTGAAGCTGTCTCTCTAAGCCCTGGACTTCCAGGACTATTCTCTGGTCAAGTTACTTTCCCCACTAAAGTGTTCTAGTCCTGGTCCAGGATGTGCCCTGTACAGTACAGCCCAGTGGCACTCTCCTGTTAACCCAGAAAGGGACCTCAGTCTCCTGTAAGGTGAGAGATGACTCAAGAAACGTCATCTCTCCCTGCCCTCCAAAGAACCTTGTACCTATAAATAGACCATGAAGAACCCACTTTTTGGAAGCAGACCGAAGCTAACTTTGGCAGGCAGGCCTCTAGGGTGCCTGGGCCAGCCACTTGAAAAGCTGGCTTTACCACAATGGGCTTCTTAATCCAGTCCTGACTCTAAGTTCCTGAATGAAAAGTGACAGAACCATGAACATAAAGGCCCTGGCTGTGACAGTGATGACCACTAGGCTTTGACAATTATAAAACTGCATTACCTGAAGCACGAACTGTGCAAACCCTTCGGGGCTAGTGCTCCAAAGAGAGCTGCCACCATCAACTTCTAAAACTCCAAGAGCATTGTTCACATTAATACATACAATGTTCTTTGTAGGGAGACAGCCCCCTGGTCCACTGCAAATTCTGTCCTTCAGCCAGGATTCGGGAACCAGGAAGGAGAAGGAAAGAGAGGTTGACTTACCAAGCCAACTTCTGTTTAAGTACACAGACACAAACACGGGAGGCACCGTGAAGAAATCCACTACAGAGTTCACTTCCAGCCAGAACCACAGCTTATCATTGGCTGCAATAAACTGGAGGAAAGAAGAAAAAAGAAAAAGAAAAAACATGAGAAGCACGGTGCCGGCATCCAATGTACACTCTTTTGTCAAAGGGTAAGTTTTGAGTTTTCATAGGGGTAAGTTTTGAATTTCCATAGGGCCACCATGCCCAGCTAAATTTTGTATTCTTAGTAAAGATGGGATTTCACCATGTTGGCCAGGCTGGTCTCAAGCTCCTGACCACAAGGGATCCACCCCTCTTAGCCTCCCAAAGTGCTGGGATTACAGGCATGAGCCACCATACCCGGCCTATTTCTATTTAGTTTTTAAAGTCTGGAGGGAGAGGTTATGTCCTTCTCATACCTACACAAAGCACATGCTTTTATGGTTGGACACACACGTTTTCTAGTGCCCCATATAGGGCCCTAAATAGATGAACTATATGATATGTTAGTCTTATGGAAAGATCAGGCAGTGTATTTTTCTGTGGTTTTCAACAGCTTCATAGGGAAGATTGTGTGATTTTACTTTTATTAGACTCATTCATGTAAATATAACTATAAATAAAGCACGTATGTATACATTCACACACACATACACACACACACACAATTCTGTCCATCTACTCTCCTCACCCTCCTTTCATTCATACTCACAACTTCTCTCTCAGGGCTCAGCTAAGTGAACACCGCTAAACATAATTTTAAGAGCTGAAGAGGTTTATTTCTATTTACTTTTGTTTTGTTTTATTTTTTGAGATGGAGTCTCACTCTGTCACTCAGGCTGGAGTACAGTGGCATGATCTCTGGCTTAGTGCAACCTCTGCCTCCCAGGTTCAAGCAATTCTCCTGTCTCAGCCTCCCGAGTAGCTGGGATTACAGATGCCCGCCACCATGCCTGGCTAACTTTTGTATTTTTAGTAGAGATGGGATTTCACCATGTTGGCCAGGCTGGTCTCGAACTCCTGACCTCAGGTGATCCACCTGCCTCAGTCTCCCAAAGTGCTGGGATTACAGGCGTGAGTCACCACATCCAGCCTATTTCTATTTAATTTTTAAGGGAACATGGCATTGTGTGAAGAGAGATGAGAAACAATCCACCTGTGGATACATCATCAATTTTCCTCAATCCATATTTCTCCCCCTTGAAACAAAACTTAAGTGAATTCCAGAAAATGCTTAGCTAAGGAGCGGGCTCTCTCCCAGACTGAAAAGCAGAATGCAGGTGTGCTGTCTCTCCTGGAAACACTGGGTTTTATCTTGACCGTGAGAGCAGACGCTGATCGGGATGATCCTTGGGTCCCAGACTGAAACACCCCATTGTGATACTGAGTAATGTTGCACAAACTTACCCGCAAGCCAAAGTAGAGAAGGAAGAACACGTTGAAAGCCATGTCGATCTGTAATGTGAAATCTTTGTAGAAATTCTGGCAGGATTCTATTGGGCTATTAGACAGGAAGAAGAAAAAGCAAGAGGTAAATGACAGGTAGTATCATCCAGTCTCCCATGATGCTGAGAAGTGGCAGTGCTTAGGATAGACGATGAAATGAATATTCATAAAAGAAAACATTTGGTCTTTCTGCCTCCTGGGATCATCAAGCAAGCATTGCCAAGGGGTCTTTCCATTCAACCATTTGGGAACTACTGTTCATTTATTTGTTGCTTTTGAAATTGTTATATATCTATCATTTTTTATCATCATTCAGCAGTTGAACGAAGAATCTAAAGAGGAACATGCAGATACCTTGGAGGAAGGACAAGCAGGAGAGGCCTCCAAATTCCTTAATTTCATATTAACCCTTAAAGAACAACTTTCTTTCTTTGAGAGGACACATGCCAAAGCTAAAACACAGTTCTTCATGCCCTCCAACACATTGGCAGTGGGGCCCGTTTTCAATTAAACACAGTGGTTGTGTTTTGGACCTTTTAAAAACCATTAGTTGATTAACAAATATAGGACCCAGGAGCATCTCAAGAAAGCTAGAGAGGAGAGGATCCTGGGTGAGGTTCTGGCTAGAATAAGCACAGACTTTCTGTGCAGGACTCACATCTGGGGAAAGAAGTATTGTCCAACCGGCCAAATTCAGACCATTAAACCAAAATGTTGAAGCAGTACTCTAAGGGTTAATTTTCTTTTTTTTTTTTTTTGGCATGCATGCTAATTGACTTGGTGTGTGTGTCGAGCAGCCAATGCGAACCCCCAGCACACTCTACTTCAAGAGTCGCCAGTTCAAAAGGGTACTACTATACAAACTGGTACAAGACCTGTGTGCTTTCCTGTGTCAAACTGATCACAGGATCAGTGTGTGGAAAGTCCCAAGGTTTGGGCTGGGTGGGAAGCAGGAAAGCCTCATAAACACTCAAAGCTGTGAATGGAAATTCATATAGTATTCTGTGATCAGTAGGTAAATAGTAACACCCAGGCCAGGAACATGAAGGTGAAGTGAGGTGAGGGAAAGGAGACAGAATACCAAGAGAAGCAAAACACTTTCCCTAAAGGGAAGCGACATAGACCTCCTCCCTCCAGGAGAGGGCCAGCTTGAGAAATGGAAGATGAAGGATTTCCTAGCAGTGCCAGTTTGGAAATCACTGTGTGCAATACCAGTTAGTATAGTTGCACGTCTGTAAGGACAACGCTTGGCTGTTCAACAGGCAGGAATCTGTGGAGTAGAGGAACTCAGGGCCCACTTAGAGGCAGGGTGAGTTAGTCTGTGGGAATCTCCGATCATGTTCCATGCACTGGATTTATCCATTCTTCATCTCTGCTACAAGTCAAACATGCCCTACGTCATCTCCCAAATCACGTGGAAAAATCTCCAGACAAGCATTAAGAGTAACCTATATTTGCAGTCACAAACTAGGCAGACTGAACAGAAAACAACACTGAAAAACAGTTCTTTAAAAAAAAAACAAAAACAAAATACAAAACAAAACAAAACAAAAAACAAAAAACGACAATTGCCAGGTTTTCACTAAGATAGGGAAGTGGGTAGAAAGACAGCATGGAATTTGGTTAGTTCAATGCTGAAAGGAGACACAAGCAAGGAAGCCAAACATCACAGCCTGCCATGGCTCTAGGCCTGCTCTCCTACACAGGTACTAATTTTGATGAAAAAAGGAAAATCCAGGCTACAGTGAATCGGTGACACTTTTGCAATTCTCAGGCCATGGGGGTGCTTGTTTTGTTTCAAAAACAAGACCCAAAAGTCCATGGGTGTCAGAGTTCCCAGTCACTCTAGTTGCAGTGAAAAATGTGCACGAACTGGGTTGACCAGAAATCCTATAGATTCCAGGGTTGAAGAGACAATGCATCTCTATGCTATGGAAGCCACCGGCAGGATACATTACTAAAGAGTAAATGGTGTGTGTGTGTGTGTGTGTGTGTGTGTCTGTGTGTGTGTGTGTGAGAGAGAGAGAGAGAGAGAGAGAGAGAATAAGCAAACAAGGATGGGGAGATCTGTAGGTAACTACTGTACTCAGGTGCTCACTTGTGCCAGCGGGGACTCATGTAGCTATGCATTATAAACTCATAGTCATCAAGATTGATGTATACGCAGTCAAGGGGAGAGAAAAAAAGTATTGGTTCCCAAGACTATCATGGAAAACTGACTATTGTTTCACCAAGGCCAAAACCTGACTGTTGCCCTCACAGTTGTTATTGGTGGAGTTACTGGTGGCATATTTGGGGCCGTCGTGAGTGCCCTAGCTCCTATTAATTCTATGGCCTCTGTGGTTAATTTGGTGGTAACCTAGAAATACAGCTAATTGGAAAAGTATTTGCTAGGCTGTGGTAGAAAATGGAATAGCTGGGGGAGAGATGTGAGCTGAATGCCACGGAGGACATTTGGATTCAACATAAATGGAAACAGGTATTGAGAAGAGCATAAGGAATTGGCTGCAGCAACTTCTCCACTGTTTCTTACCTTCCTGGTCCTTTCTGTCATCTCTTCTCATAATGCTTATGTTCAATGGCCACAATGAAAGGGCTTGAAGCTAGAGGACATGGTGTTGAAAAACACACCTTAACAACACCCCTGGTTTACAGGAAACATGTTGAAGCCATAAAGACCTTTTCTCTAATCCTTTCAAACAATTTAGAACTGATTTCATCATGTTTCATTATCATTCCTTGAGTACTAGACTTGGAGCTGAAATACTAGAGGAAGTAAATGATGCTGCTGGCACAGGTGGCTTTTCCTCTGACTGAAGCTGGAAGGTAATATGAGCAAACCCCAATGATATGAGGGGTCAGGGGGCAGGCAGAGAAGCAGGAAACTCTGGGACAAAAGACCCAGGTAGGATGAGTGATTGGGCAATGTACTTTCTATCCCTTTTAGCTATTTCCTGCTTGCCACTACAGCCCCAGCAGAAATGTCCTGCCTGATTTTTTTCAAGTGGCAACAGAACTGTTTATCAGATCCCCTCTGAGATGAGTCCTCTGAGTGCCTATAGTTCACAGACTCGCACAATCACAGACCACAGAGTGGAGCTTCCAAAGCCCCATTATTTCATTCCTCAGACGGAAACAACCCATGGAGACGTTCATTGATCCTTTAAAAAGAGAATACATAATTCAACAACAAAAGAGTTGGCCATATCAACCAGGATTTATTTTCCTCCCAAAGAGACATTATCTTAATGATTAATGCACATTACAGGATGGAGAATGAAATACAAACACCTCTCCCTTCTTGTGTAAAGTAGGAGGAGTTTCCTTGTCTAGATACACAGAAACTTCAAAAGCTAGCAAAGAAATTGTGCTTTAAAGGAAAAAAAAAAAAAAAAACTACAAAGGAAAGTGACTCTGGATCACACACAGACTTAGATTTCCAGTCTGATGAGGCATATCCACCTCAGAAGGATTTACACGGTATATGTTGCCAACAGGAAAAAAAAAAAAAAAAAAAAAAAAAAAAAGGCGGAGTTTTACGAACTGAAATAACACAGTTCTGCCTCCAGTAGTAAAAAACTGACTTACCCTAAATTGCTACGGGTTAACTAACTTTACTTACATCCTCTTTATAATTAGAGGATACAAGATACTTGGTAAGTGACAGACTATTCATTTCTAGGCTCCCATAATCCATGAAACAAATGTGATACTAAAACCATAGGCAAATTTAGCATTTGGACCAGGACTCCATGACTGGGCACCTTCAAAAGAGCCTCAGTAAAGAGATGATTCTTACAGAGTAAAGGTTCAGTTGTAGAGTAGAGGTTGAAATACAAACTCCTGTTTCCTCTTGGCCATCAAGTAAGTATATCATCAGCATTTAGATGCCTCTACAGAGGAAAATAAGACTCACCCAAAGTGGGAAGTGTTTCTCTTTCCTCATCTACTTAGTAATCAAATTTTCAAAAAGACTCTTGAGCAGGAAGATCGAACAGACCTTCCCGAAGACTGAATTAAGAACTTGTCTTTTCAGAGCACCAGGCAAGTGAGGGCTACCCAGGTTTTCTTTCAGAGGGCAGGAGCTCTAAGCACAAAATCTCACTGCTAGCAGTGCTTCCTCTGGGCACCTTCCTCATCTCCAAGAGGGAAGGATCGCCCCCTCTTCGCAGCCTCTAAACTTCCCTGGGTTTGCTGCAGTCTGTTTTCCCACCTTCCTGAGTCTGGCTGCCGAACCCTGTGAAGCTACTTCTCCAGGGTAGCCGTTCTCAAACTTTGGCATGCAGTTGGAGGGCTTGTTAAAATCTTGCTGGGCTCCATCCCCAGTCTCTGATTTAGTAGATTTGGGGGTGGGGGCCTTAGATGTTGCATTTCTCACAATTTCCCAGATCATGGGGATGCTGCTTCTCTGGGAACACCACTTTGAGACCTGCCACTCCCAAAAACCTTTCTTGCAACTGCACACTAATTATAGGTGTCACTGCTCAAGAAACTTCCCATTCAGACCTGAACAGAGATGATTCAGTGTTTGAGCCTGCCTCCAGATAACCAGCTGCATACCACTTAGCTAATTGCTGAGATCAAGGAGTTGAACAGACATTTTCTGTTTCAGAGGCAAACGAGGGGGTGAAAAAATTAAAAAGATACAGGGAAGCAATTGCAATGCCACTGTGCAAGCTTCACCAGTGGACATTCCAATTAACAATCAGAGAGTACCTGCTGAGCACATTTTTGATTAAGATTAAAAGGAAAAATGATGAAGTACAGATGGGGAGGGGTTACGGAGACCATCATTTATAGGGGATAAAGAAATGGTAAGTAGCTTGAGAATAACAACAACAATAACACACACCCAAGATGATTTAATAGGGAAGGGACTGGCTGAAGAACAAGATAGCATTTTGTGAAATGATTTCCAACATTCAAATTCTCCTCACTCTTGTGGCTAGTCCCTTTTTAAACTGAATGGGGCCCTCTCAATTCCCACCTGGATTATGAACAGGCAGAGTTCAGTCCCACAGCACCACAGACATGAGTCAACGCAGTAAGCCTAAT